AAAAAAAAAAAAAAGAAAAAAAAGAAAGGGCAGGGCGCAAAGTCTGAAGGAAACCAGGCACAAGCTTCCAAGGGTGCACAGTACACGCTGAATTCTCCAGGCAACAAAATGTAACAATACATGTGAAATGCTGTCTAGCAGGCAAGCTGGCCTGAGCCTGGGAGTTCAGGGTTTTCATCAGTGCTTAGCCATGCAGGAAGCCACTTCCTGACATGTACCAAACTTCCAGACTCCCAAAGAGAAAGCAGGTGTCAGCATAAACCACACTGTTTGCAAAAACATTCCTACTGTTATCAGTTAGGAATGGTGGGGGCCCTCCCAAGATCTAAGTTCCCAGATGCCAGCCAAAGACCACTTTTGCAAGCAGGCATCTCTAAAGGGCAGCAGTCTTAGGCCTGCTATGTTAACTCTTTCCTGCACAGCAGCAGGACACAGGGAGGACAAGGACAATGAACACAGCAGGACAAGGGCTATATAATGTTTATTATTATTTTTATCAAACTATATATATTACTTTTTTTTTTTTTGAGACAGGGCTTCACTCTGTCACCCAGGCTAGAGCTCAATGGAACAATCATGGCTCACCACAGCCTCAACCTCCTGGGCTCAAGTAATCCTCCCACCTCAGCCTCCTAAAGTGCTGGGATTACAGGCATGAGTCTTCACACATGGCCATGTATATATTTCTAATAGAAGTAAAAACAGGAAAGGAAGAAAGGGAAGAAGAAAAGAAAATGGCTATGAAAGTATAGAAATTATAGCTTCTGTAGTAACAAAAGAGAGCCATAAATAGAGAAGATTACACCATGAAAATCTAGAACAAGGAAGACAGGTCAAGGTCTTAGTGTGGAGACAATTCTTAAACATCTCTGAGGTTAGTTTTAGCGACTAGGCTTTAAATGAACTAGAAATAAATTAATTGCCTATGCATAGTAATACCCACTGCTCAGACACTGCAATTTCTGATGTCACACTTCCAGCCCTGCTCAATAGCCTGACCTTCCTTCTTACCCATGTAGACTCTTTTCCTAACCAGACTTTGGCGCAGTCCATAGTTGCACCGTCCAATACAGTGGCCATGAGCCACATGCAGCCATTAAGATCTTGAAATGTGATTAGTCCAAATTAAGATATGTTACACTTATTTTACAAATACAGTTTGAGCATCCCCAATTGAAAAAATCCAAAATCCTAAATGCTCCAAAATCCAAAACTTTTTGAAAACTGCTACGACACATGAAATGAAAAATTCCACACATAAATACCTAAAACAAACTTCTTTCATTCACAAAATTATTTAAAATATTGTATAAAATTACCTTCAGGCTATGTATGTATGAAACATAAATGAATTTCATGTTTTGGCTTAGATCCCATCCCCAAGATCTCATTAGGTTTATGCAAATATTCCAAAATCTGAAAAATTCTGAAATCTAAAACACTTCTGGTCTCAAGCATTTCAGATAAGAGATGCTCAACCATTATCATATTCCAAAGACTTAGTATAAAAAAATAGAATGCAAAATAGCTCATTGATGATTTTTATATTGATTAAATGTTGACATGATCACATTTGGCTTATGTTATATTAAATAAAATGTCCTTTTTGTTTTTTATGGGCTTTTTTTTTCTTTTTTCTGAGACAGGGTTTCACTCCTGTTGCCCAGGCTGGAGTGCAATGGCATGATCTCAGATCACTGCAACCTCCGCCTCCTGGACTTAAGCAATCTTCCCACCTCAGCCTCCCAAGCAGCAGGGACTACAGGCATGTGCCACCACGCCTGGCAAATTTTTATAGCGATGGGGTCTCACCATGTTGAACTCCTGGGCTCAAGCGATCCACCTGCCTCCACCTCCCAAAGTGCTGGGATTACAGGCTGGAGCCACTGCATGCAGCCCTTTTTGTGTTTTTAATGAGGCTATCTGAAATGTTAAATTACACCTGTGGCTTGCACTTGCAGCTCAAATTATAGTCCTATTGGACAAGGTTAGTTTACACCTTCTATAAACAATCACATCAAGCTTTTTCAGCTTCCTTCAAACCTAGTGTGGAGGCCGTACCTCAACGTCTGTCGCTTTAGAGAAGAACTCCAGGCATGTCGTCTTCCCACTTGCAATATTGCCCTCGACACAGATCTGGCAAAAGACAAATGCACATTAGAGTCAGAAATCAAGTGCCTAGGGGAACATCAGGGAATGATGTCTAGGGAAAAGACTCAGGTGAACAGCACAGTTGGTTCAGTCCAAGACTTTCACACGTAAACCGAAATCCCTCCTCGGGAAACTGGAAAGGTCCCATTGTTAGTAATAACAGATAAGCCGATTCTCCCCAGTGGCAGGCTCAAGTGGTCCCCTCAGACTGGACCCTCCTTAACATCAACTCCTAAACCATACACAGCTTGTCTGCCCAGCCCAGCTCTGCCCGCTTCCCTAGTTCCACCCCACAGACTATTAGATTTTAGACCTCAGTGTCCTGCCTCCTTAATGAGAGCCTCATCAATGGCTTTGAGGCCAGGAAACACATGTGTGTTATATCTAGACTCGAATTCACTGCTTTACAGGAAAAGAAAAAAGGACTTGGTCACTGACTAGAGAGTATTAGGGAAGGGGAGAAGAAAAAAAAGAGCAAGGACACCAGGTGCAGTGGCTCACTCCTGTAATCCCAGCACTTTGGGAAGCCAAGGTGGGTGGATCACAAGGTCAAGAGATTGAGACCATCCTGGTCAACGTGGTGAAACCCCATCTCCACTAAAAATACAAAAATTAGCTAGGGGTGGTGGCATGCACCTGCAATCCGAGCTACTTGGGAGGCTGAGGCAGGACAATTGCTTGAATCTGGGAGACAGAGATTGCAGTGAGCCAAGATTACACCACAGTACTCCAGCCTGGGCAACAGAGCATGACTCTGTATCAAAAAGAAA